CTTCACAGAAAGTGCAAAGACAATCTTAAGGCAAAACACAAAAGTCCAAGAAATTTTTTTTCCTTTTTTTTTTTTTTTTTTTTTTTTTGGTTTTTCAAGACAAGGTTTCTCTGTATTGCTTTGGAGACTGGGATTAAAGTCATGTCGTGTGCCATGACTTTTTGACAAAGAGGTTAACAGCACACATTGTAGAAGATTCAATATTTTCAACAAATGATGCTGGTCAAACTAGATAGCTTACATGTCTATCAAATGATAAATGGGTAATGAACATGTGGTACATTTATACAATGTAATATTATTTGGCTGTTTAAGAAAAATAAAATTATGGAATCTGCAGGTAAATGAATGGGGTTGAAAAGAATCATTCTTACTGAGGTAATACAGAGTCAAGAAGACAAATGTCATGTGTTCCGTTACATGTGGATGCCAGCTTTGGATCTTTGCATACCTGTATATAAAAGGAACTGGTGAACTTTCAAGGGAGGAAAGATGGAGAGTAGTGGAGCGAGGGGAGGATGGGGAGTGATGAAGAGTTAACTTTCTGAAAGCTCCCATTTTTAAACTGTGTATGAACATCACGTGCTTTTCCAGTATTTTAATACAAGTTTAGTTTTGGCATACTGTCTGCTCCATAATAGCATAAATTTGGTACTCAAGGATGACATGCCACAGTGTCTTTCTTAAATGCATGCACACATCCCAGTTGTAAAGCAACTTGTTAAAGAGAGTGGTGTTAAGGTGGTGTTAACCACAACCAGAATATTGTGTGCGAAAAAGCTGTTTTGATAAAAAGGGAATGACTTTAGATTGATGCCACTTTTTCATAAATAACACATTCTATAAAATTGAGATGATATTCACAGTACTTACTAGAGAAAACCAAAAGTACTTCAAGTTGGTGTTAAGGTAACCCCAAACTAGACACTGGAGAACTCTAAGTTGTAACCAAACCCACACTTGTTTCATGGCTTTGACCAAGCCAGGCAGTCTGTGGCCATGATTATGTATACAAACCGCCTACATCAGGTGTCATCTCAAGGTCAGTGTGTTTATGCTAGCTGTTTTTGTTATGCATGTAGAATACCATGCAGCTGTTCTGGGCATGGTGGTCAGAGTGGGTGCCAGTACAACTGTAATAAGCAGATTGCCAGAAACAGGCTGATTATATAGGCAAAATAAGCAGATGATATAATTCTGAGAGTGAATGGAACATCTTGGTTACAAAGATTATAGAAGCTTGTGTTAACTATGTAACTCATGGTACAATTGAAGTGATTCTTGAAATTTCCAGTATGGATCATTTTATAGATAGGGCATGCCTGTAAACTAACAAGTAGCTATTAAGATAATATATGGTGGTGAAAGCTAGGCAATATTAAAACATTGCACTGATAAACTCGAGTACTTGCTAAGTAAGCATGCAAAAGCAACTGAAATTTTACAAAAGTTTGGCAGCCTTTAAGCTTACTTCAAAGAGAGGACCATCGATGTAGCTCCATGGGTAAAGGTGCTAATGTGAAGCTGATGACCTGAGTTCAATCCCCAGAATCCACATGGTCAAAGGAGAGGGCCAGCTACTGCAAGTTGCCCTCTGACCTCTATGCATGTGCCATGGTGTGCATCCTCGCCACAAATACCTATACAAATGTAATAAAAAATACCTTAAAGGAATAAGAAGAAAAGTCTGACTTAGAATAACACTATAAATTTTATGTAAGATCTGAATTATTAAAGAAAAGCTCTTATATTTAGTATATTTATTAATAAATGACATATCTGAAACCTATGTTTTAATATATTTAAATCTGGCTTAGAAACATGATATAAGGAAAATCTCCTACAATCTATAGAGTTAGACACAGATACTGTAATTATACCTAGTAATAATTACAGCACCTGTTTGTCAGAATTTTTTAAAGTAATGAAGTTGTAATCTTATAATAACAAAGAAAAAGATGGAGGAGGTGGGCTTAGTAAAGGAAAACATCAGGCCTGTAAATTCACTTAGTTCATCTACACGATGACATGGTATTCTGCTAATCTACTCAGAAACATAATGAGAGTTGCAAATGGAGTTCAACATTAAAAATGGAAGACACTTTAGTGGACTCTATTTTAAGCAGAACAATAACGTCAATAAGTAAAACTTCTTAGTAGGATATCTAAGGCGATAACACGACTCCTCTATGCAGATGTATTACAATTTTTCCTTCCCACTATAGTTCTGGAAATTGTGATGCCTAGTGTTTTAAATGGCTTTCCCAAAGCCAGTGTTTCCAATAAGCATTAGAGATAACTGAAACCTTGGTTATATTAATATTTGTTTATTTATTTTGGCATGCTGCTTGGAATAAAAAAATAATAGGTGAGTACCCTAGCAGTAAAATGTCAACTGTGGTTGTCCTGAAAAACTCAGTTTTAGCTGTTCTTTAATTTTTCATTGTGTATGTTTCCTATTGTGTTGTAAGAATGTGTTAACTTGTATCTAATATATTTAATATTGCATCATGATGGTTTGGTGTCATGAGCAAGGTGAAGCAACATCTATAGGGAGGGAATTAGAAATACCTTTCCAAATAATGTGAGTTTTATCCTGGAGCTGGAAAATGGTATTTGATAAGGGCTGTGATACAGTGAATGTAAGATGATTCAACATTATAATCAGAGAAAGAGCAGATAAAGTCCTATAATGATCCAAGTGTGAGCAAGATAAGTCTCCCGATATCAGCTCAAATGGACATGAAAACCCAGTCTCGAGAAGCATAAAGGAAAACGTACTTGCAAAATTTGTCTTGCTTTTAGATCACTCTGTGGGTTTTTACTTTGATTCTAAACTCTCAGTTGGGTGGTGATGATACAGATAAGTTAGTATCAATACAGTGGCTCAAGGAGAGCCCTCAGAAAATCAGATGCATTATGGTTTTCAGTATTTACAGTTTTACCCTGAGGGGTTGTAGACCAAGGCAGTTTTCTCTGTGGTTTTACCTTGTAAACCCAGACGACTAAAACTGACCAGTTCATAGCAAGGAGCAATGTGAAACACATTGCCCACCATGATGTCATTGCTTCTATTTAAGCACAAATTGACTCCAGGGAATAGGAAACTTTTGCTCTGATTTCACACATAAAATGTTTATAAAATAAAACCATAAATATTTAATACTGTTTTAAAAAAGCCTTTGGTAAGAGGAGACTAAACATCCATTTGTTTTCCTACTACTTCTTTCCAGTAGATATTGACTAAGTAGAATAAATTGTTGTGCAAAATTTCTCTTTCTCTGTTCCTATGTATATATTATACAATGACCTACTGTATTTACAATGTTAGATTTTGGCCATTGAGTGAGATTTATAAGTGAAATAGAAGGACAGAATAAAAAATGGTTATGTTTTACTTCTCTTTTTTCGTGTGCGTGTGTGTGTGTGTGTGTGTGTGTGTGTGTGTGTGTGTGTGTGGTTTACACATGAGTGTGGGTTTACACCACTGTGGATCCATGAAGTCCAGAAGAGGACATCGAATCCTTGGATCCATTGGAGCTTTTGCCATTTGTCAGGTGACCAGCTTGCTTTGTGAGTCCTGGGACCCCAGCTTCTGTTCTCATGATTGGGCAGCTAGCACTCTTAACCACTGAATTAACTCTCCTACTGACTTCCCCCTTACAAAGTAATAATTTAAAATGATTATGTGTGGCTAATTGATGCATGTGCATGAGCGAATGTGCCATGTTGTACATGTGGAGGTCAGAGGACAATTTATTGAGGTAAGTTCTCTTCTTCCATCAGGTTCTTGAGACTGAGCTCAGGCTGCCAAGCTTGCACAGCAGGAGCCTCTTCCTGTTGAGCCATCTTTCTGGCCCCTCATCACATTTTACCAAATTGCTCTTCTGTTTCATTAATAGATAACTCATTTTAGCTGAATTTTAATGCTGCCAGATTGCTTTTACTGTATTTAATAGATTTGATGCACACAGTAGGTAAAATGAAATTATGTTTTCTTGTTCATTAACTCTAATTCTTTCACTGATGAATTTTCTGTTTAATACTTTGACCCATTAACAGTAGAGTTGAATACAACCTGGCTATTTTGTACATTTTACACAGTCTTCTCGATCAATTCTATTGTGCAAGTATTTTTATTAGATTATTAGTAACTTGAGTAAATGTTCTTAACATGCTCTGATGGCTTGAATGAGATGTTCTTAACTTTGGGCATTTGAATGCTTACTCCCCAATTGGTAAAGCTGTATGGGGAGGCTTAAGAGTGATGGTCTTGGAGGAAAGCATGCCACTTCTGGCAGGCTTTGAGGTTTCACAGTCTCTTGCCATTTCCCAGTGTTCTCTCTGTTTCTGATTTGTGGTTCCAGATGTGAGCTTTCCATTTTTCTTGTGACCATGCTTAACACTTGCTGGCAAGCTTCCCTGTCACTAGGGAGGTAGACTCTTATCCCTCTGGAACCATAAGCTCCAAACAAACCCTTCCTGCTCTAAGTTCCCTTCATCATGGTATTTTATCATAGCCACAGCAAAGTAACCAGGACCTATGCTGATTTTACATCCTTAAATGCTAAAGGGTATTTTACTTGACTCTCCTTATCACATGCCATCACCTATTAGCTGGTTTTCTTTTTTTTCTTTTTTTTTTTTTCCTTCAAATTCCTGGTTTAATAAGGAATTGTTTATTTTGAGAAAAAGATCCCAAACATCAGGCTGTTCACAAAAATAACCCATGGTATTAACTTTAGAAAACAAATATTAAGACTATTACACTATTTTCCTGTAAGATGCATTTGACATGCCAACTCTCATTCACAAAAATACATGGTTACATTCGTGTTGAACAGCCCCACTCATGTGAGGGAAAACACACACCTCTAATGCAAAGCTGCTCTCAGGGTTACAAGTAAATGAGATGCTTCTGCAGTTAGGGAAGCAACTACTGAAATCATATGAAGAACTGTACTCCCTGCATAACAAGAGATTATTTTGGAGACAGTTGATAAAAACCATACATCTTTTTATTGTTAAGTCAAAGAGGTATCAAAATTAAAAGCAAACTTACAGGGTAAGACTTAACAAAACTACTAAGGAGCATCAAAGGAAGTGAAAATGAACTAGGCGCAAGCCAATTATGAATCAATGAACACAGGAAGGATAAGGAGAGGGCGAACAGTGAGGATGTGCTGAAGATACTAGGAAGAGGATCTGGTGTTACTTTGATCTCTCACAAGCGCCTAGGTAAATGAATAACGGGGTAAGTTTCTAAACTCCTCAATGTGCTTTAAGAGTCATCCTCCCCATTGGCGCTATCTCTGTCATCTTCTCCTTCCTCTGCTTCTTTTTCATCATCCTTGATCAATTCCAGCTGGTCATCCCCCCTGTCTTCATTGTCATCGTCGTCCAGCAGGTCACCCTCCTCAGCAGAGTCATCTGCATCTGCCTCAGACTCCATCTTCACATTGGTCTCATCTTTCTTCACAGAGGCACTGCTCTGTTCTTCCTCAGACTTTTCATTCTTCATCTCTACTGGGGATGAGTAGGACAAGTCTGCTTGCTTGCTTTGTTCCTTTTCAATTTTTTCCAGGCTTTCCAGCAGAGAATCCACTTTTTGTTTTATCTGAGTCAGCTCCTTCTTAATGGCCTGAAGGTCATCTCCTTTCAACTTTCCAGACTTGGATGAAGATCCCCGTTGTCCACTCTTGGAATTAAATCCACTTTTGCCCCTTCGAGAGGTGTTTCCGGAAACACGCTGGCGTTTAGAAGGCACCACAGCTCGAGCAATAGGAGGAGGAGGAGGGACACGTGCTGGGTAACTGTACATCCTGTCATAATAATCCCGTTGAAAGTCATAGTCCAAATCAAATGAGGAACCGTACATCTCCGCTGCAGATCGTTTGACACCTGCTTTTCCTCGGTTCACTTTTGGCTCTGCAGCCAGATTAATATCTAAAACCTGGCCAGCAATCATTCTGCCATCTTCTCCAGCAACAGCAGCCCGGGCATTTCTTTCATTAACATATTGGACGAAGGCAAAGCCCTTATGCACAGAGCAGCCCACTATTTTGCCATACTTTGAAAAAATTGCCTCCACATCAGACTTCTTGACAACAAGAGTATTGAGATTCCCAATGAATACACGGGAATTCATAGATCGAGGATCTGTCTTGTTGGTAACATTGCTAGCCATTTCCTTCGATGATAAGGTTTCTGATAATGTAGCTGAAGATCAAAAAAATCTCACAAGAGGAAGGAGAGTGACAAGAGACAGCCTCTCCTCCTGCGGTTCCGGGCCGAGACTCCGAAGCGACAGCAGCAGGCAGCAGTACACGACCGTTCGCTCTCCGGCGCTCCACAAAATCTTAGCTGGTTTTCATAGAATTCAGTGGACTATTGCTGGGTTCTGGTCCACACACGGTCTTTGTATATGTTGAACTTTCTTAGTTTTCTCCTTTTGTTTCTTCTCATATTCACCAACAGCTGCCTCTTATATTACCTCCATCTTTTCACTTATTAGTCCACTCTGCAAACTGCAACCAGTTGCATAATTGCCAAAGCTTATTTCCTTATCTTTTAAGGGGGCATTATAAAACTGTCAGTATTATTGGATAATGGGAGACATACGCTATTATATGTAAAATATTTAACAAGCAACTGAGCTTCAAAAGCACTATAAGGATTTAATAAATAACGATGATGATGATTTTTCCCATAATTTTTTTCCTAAGACAATAATTGGAATGCTGATGGAAATGATATATTAAATAATTATGTTATGAGATTTTGCTATAAATGATGAATGAAAATGAAAGAAAAATTATGGAAGAACTAGTATAATAGCTAAGAATACAGGAAAGGTATTTATAAAGGAGTCATATCTTGTCCCTATAATTATTACTATTTTCCTTTATCAGTTAGTAGGGAGACATTTTTTAAACATTTATAAATTTTTATTTTATGTGTATAAGTGTTTTTACCTTCATGTATGTGTGTGCACCATGTGTGGTCAGTGGCTGCAAAGGCCACAAGAGGGTGTTGGATCCTCTGGAGCTGGTGTTATGGATGGTTGTAAGCCATCACATGGATGCTGGGTTGTCTACAGACAGCAAATGTCCACGACCACTGAGCCATTTATCCAAGTCCAATAGAGGAAATTTTAGTCAGTTGAGTTCTTTGGTTTTACCAATAATTTAAATAATTTATTTTTAATATCCAGTTAACATTTCTATTCCTGTTCATTTAGTCTTTCAAAAATACATAAACTGATGGCTATTTTAAGTCTATTGAAGAATCTAGCAGAGGCATGAGTTTGGTTCACAGCACTCACGTGATGGCTCACAAACCACCTTAACTTCAGTTCCAGGGGATTTGACACATTCTTCTGACCTCTGCAGGCACCAGGCACACATGTGGTCCCCATATATATGTGCAGGCCACACACCCCTATACATAAAATAAAATTAACATTTTTAGAAAACAAATTAAGTGCATCTTGAAAATGAATTAAGAGCATTGAAGAAACCGGTTATTGACATGGTATTGACTATGAGTCATTCATTAATAATTTGGATAATATTTGGTGACAGTTTCTAAACCTAGGTAATAATTTACATCTACATTCAATAGTAAGGATATAGGACATATGAAAACAAAGCTATTAGGATAAAGGAGAATAGAATAATATAGAATGAGAGAGCACTTAGTCCTTTTAAATGTATGTACACACACATGTTTGTGCACATATTTTAATTTTTTCCTAAAAAGGCCTCCATTTGAGAGCAACTTATGATACTATATGAAATAATGCCTACAATGGAGAACTGCAAATAATTTTGGGAACATGCAAAAGTGAAATAGAATATGCTTATTAGATGGGGGAATTCTCATGAATGGAGAATATAATAATTACATTCGTTTTTCCCTATGTACAGGGCACATGTTCCAAGAGTCCCCGCTGGGTGCTTGAACTTACAACTGAATCAGAAGAAACAGCATATATAAGAGAAACATATGAGAGAACAAGTGAATTCAGGGTCATAAGAGGATAGCGATCACTTATGGGATGTGTACCGTGCACAGAACATTTCAAGCACATTATCACTTAGTCATATAACAGTCTGGAAAGAAGTTTCTATTATCTTATTTTAGGTATAAGGAAACTAAAACCTGCAGGAGTTGAGTAATATGCCCAAGTTCCCAAGTGATAATTTGCATTGCCATTTCCGATTCAATTCTGTCTGACCACAAACTGCATGCCCCCAGCCATTATACCTATGTCAACAGCTACTCTCTTGTGAGAGAAGCACAATGGGGGGAGGGGGTATGTAGGACTGACTAATGGTGACTCTGACTATGGAATCTCTGAAGACACGGTAACCCTTGTAAGTAGACCTTTAATTCTTGGGAAGTAATATGAGTAATGAAAGTAAAATTTAAGATATGAGCATGCAGGGAACTGGAGTGGGACTTGTCTGAGACAGCTGATATTCTCAGAGCACAGATCAAAAGACACACTCACGCCCAGCAGCTCAGTGGTCCTAACACTGAGCAATATACACATAAGATGCTGAAAATGCACGTCTTAATGATGAGGACAGTGCCATAGGTAGTGAGTATTCCCACATCCTGGAGCAAGATGCTATGAGGGTAAAGTAAGACATAATGAAAGCTGTTCTGAAGCCAGTAACCACCTTCCTCAATAGGGCTAAAGAGACTTATGGGAGAGTGGTTTGGAGCCTGTGCCAACATTCCTTCATTACTCTGTTCTCCCCCAGAAGAAGATGTGTGAGACTGTTTGAGGTTTAAAGACTTTGCTGTAATATGGACCCTATATGCTTAAGGAAAAGAAACCTGGAACTTCGGTGTGAGGGAACTTCACTTCCAGGGATTATAGTACAATGAATAGACTAAAAACAAAACAAAAACAACCTTACAGCCTCTAAGAAGAACCTGGAATGAATGCAGAACGTGACTAGACATTGTCTTCATGTTACATGCTGGAGTTAGTTATCCTGAAAGGGTGGTTGTCCTGAAGGTTAGGAGTCTATGGAATTCCATGTTTACTTGTACATTCTTGTCATGTGGAGATATCAATGGTTTCTGTATACCGGTATGAACAAATCCCAAAGATATAGTTTATAAATAATGTATCTTATTATATAGTTATGTAATCTAAGAAATTGGATTTATATAGCTAACCATCTGCTAGATGTTTTCTTTTAATATTTTTCTTTGGTACTTATGTATATTTTCTCAAATACTCTGAATTGCCTTCACTATGTCACTTGTTCTCTTCTTAATGGGTTAAAGAAATACTTGACAGATGCTTGTTGTATGTTTGGATTTTATATATACAATATATACACATACTATATTATATATATGCAAAATATATGCAATAATATATTAATTATATATACATTTATATTAAAATAAAGCCACCATAAATTTATGAGGGAGTAAGGTAGGGACATGGGAGTGGTTAGAAAGAGGAACAGGAAGGGGAAATGATATAAGTACAATTATATTAAAATTAAGAAAATGAAGACTAATTGGAGGGGTCAAGTGATTCATCAAATGGATGACTAGGAGATTTGAGCAGCATGAGTGGACTTGAAAATGACTAGCCAGGGAAGGCATTCCCAAGTGAATGGAAGTGATCTGAGAATCTCTTACAGTGAGCTGAGAAATGTGCAATGGAATCTATGGGGAAGTCAGTTTTGGCATCTTGTAAGCTTTAAATTTGACTAAATTTTTCTGAACTATAGGATCAGTCATACTGCAGGAATGCCTGCCTCTGTACTCCTCACGCCTAGTTTTCTTTCTACTTGAGATAAAATTTGAGTGTTGTACATCATGGCTACAAGTGGTGAACTCTATTATTCTGTACACAAATTTATCCCTTATATAAAAAACAGAAATGGACTATACCTACATAGTGGATGAGAAGGATAAATCATCCATGACTTTTAGAGATTAATAGGTAAGATTTTCTTATGGCTTAAATGGACCAGAGGAAGTGTACAACTTATCTATATTTGAGGTGCAAAGAAAATAGATAAAATAACCCTTAAGATGTTTTAAGGACAATGGAATTTTCCCAAGTATAGTTGTTTTATGATTGAGTTCTCTTGTTCCTTTGTCTCTCTCTCTCTCTCTCACACACACATACACACACACACACACACATGCACACACGCACACACACACACACACACAGGCACATGTACTCACGCACACTTGTGCTGCCTGTATTTTTATAAATAGCCAATTCTCTCATAAACTGTATAGAGTGGACAGTGACCATTGTCTGGGTTTGGGTGGTAAGCCTCTGTAACTGACAACATAGTCCTGGCCACAAGAAGGGGTATAATTTAGACATAATGTCTCAGACCTTTGGCCACAGTGGTTCACTTGAGGATGGGCAGATGGCCTAAGTGAGGTCAAAATGTACATCCATGCCTAAGTCTTTTCAGACTAACTCAGAAACATGAGTTTCTGTTGAAGTTGATGGGGTGCTGTTAGTCAGGGATGTTAATGTTGGGTTCCTTTTCTCATAGAGAAAGACCAATTGAAGTAAAAAAAATGAAACCATCGTTTTGGATTCTATCCTTTCTTTTATAGGTTCAGATTCAACATCCCAAAAATTTCTGAGCAAGATAGTTTGAACTGGATTTCTTTCAATTGCATCAATTATTTTGCTAGTGAAATTACACACACACACACACACACACACACACACACATGCACTCACATGCACACACACACACATACCCCTAATAATGCAGTTGAAAGATTATTTCCCCCAGTGACATAGATGTAGTAAGTGAAACTGGAGAAACTAGAGTCTAGATCTTTCTGACTGCATATCCATGATCTTAACAGATTTCTCCATACTGTGAAGGCTCAAAGACACTATAGAGGGCTTATGACTGGGAGAAATATTTTAATGGCAAGAAAGCTTTAAGGAAGTAATTGAAGTGTTTCTTTCTTTTCTTTTTCAATTGTCTTTTCCCTTCTACTTCCTCTCTTTTCCTTAATTTTCCCCTTACCTCCCCTTTCTGAAGAAATTCATCCTAATGCCTGTGTCAGGGTAGACAGTAAGTTAGGGAGCTGGCCCAAAGCCCCTGGGACTCTGAGGAAACAAGAGTACAGGCTCATAGAAAGGCACTCCCTCCACACAGAGTGAGAGTTGACAAGGTGTTCAGGGCATAGTACAGCTGCAACAGACCCCAGTTTCTCTGAGCTTGATGTTTTCCTTTGCCCTTCTGCCCTTCCTTCTCAGAGCTGCTGCCTCACCAATCTTGC